AGAATGACGGTAAAGTTCTTAAGTCAATGTAAAGTCCCTTTTTTCCATTCACATCCATTCCTCCTTTTATTTTTATTCTCTCTTTTCTATTTTTCTCTTCATGAAAACACAACAGAAAATAAATTCTTCTATTTTTTTTTTTATTGCACATACATGAAATATAGATGATGATAAAAGCATAAACACATTTTTTATGTGTATTTCTGAAAAAAGGAATCGAATTGATAAAAACATCAAACGTGACTCAAAATGAAATGCTAAGGATTAGACCGAGAAATTCTCATTTTGTACGTCTAGTTCTGAATATTTTTTAAAAATTTCCACAATTTAAATTCATTTTGAATGGTTAAATATTTGTAGAAGAATATTACAATAACAATAAAGGTAATAACAACAAATTAGTTATTTGGGAATAAATAAGTGCATGTGGCTCTGTCTTGGGATCGAGGATCAGATGAGTATTTGTAGATGAGATGACTTGAGCGCATTTGATTGTCAATATTTAACTTCTTGTTGTTGGAGGATTTATTGAAGGCTTATTGACTACAAATGAATATCAGTCAGCTGCAGGCCTCCATCCACTAAATTAATCAAGCACAAAAAACTTACTTTTATCATTTTTAAGTAGTCTTACTTGAGAAAAATTCCACGGTCTATTTTTGGTCATAAGTTATTGTGTAAACACTGCCCTCAAGTGCGCCACACTCGAAAAAATGTATCACCTAAACAACTGACCATAAATCAATAGCAAACTAATCAAGAATTGATCTATTATGATATAATATGAAAATTACACAATAAAGTCCAAGTCATTGTATTGACTTAACTGTTCCACTCCACTTTTAAATGTTCTCTCAACTAGACAAAATGACTGTTAAACCACAAAGTCAACAATGTCGACGTTAAAAATAGTTTTTTTTATTATTTCACTGAAATGATATCTTCAAATATTTGCTCGCGCCTTTTCTCTTCTCTGTGATGATGAATGTGAAGTATTTGAAAATTGTAAATATTTTTATAATCTGGAATGAAATCCTCAGCTCACATGAATGCATGTATGTATGTATGAGATGTATATTATTGTTATTGTTTGTCTCCACTTCGCCCCATTCCCGAAATAAAAAAAAAAGTAACAACAAAATTCTCTCTTGCTTACTTACTTATGTGGATTATCTCATGCATCTCGTGCATCTCGAATATCTTCCTCGTCGTTGTTGTTATTTAACAGTGAAGAAGCTTTTTGACTTCTTTTATTTTTCCCATTCTTATATCATTGTGGCTGGTGAGTGAGACAGGCACACGAAATAAAAAGGGAAAAATGAAAAATCAAGATTGGCTGTGGCGACAACATCGACCTCACACACGTTTCGTTAAGGCTCGAAATGTAACACATCTTTCTCTGCTGTATACTGAATTTCTGACTATATTTGTATGAGAATTTCGAGTCTCGAGACGACATGAATAAAAATGCATCTTGTTTTTATTATCCACTGAATTTATTTCTTCTCTCTTTTTTAAATGTATTTATTAGTGATTCCCATTAGTTTAATAAAAATTTCTCATTTCTTATAACTTGATTATCGTTGACTTTTATCGCTCGCCAATCTCAAAATGATCACTTAAAATGACATAAAAAATTTCTCATCGAAAGAAATAAAAAAAAAATTTATGCGAAAATATTTGCTGGATTTTGGGTGGCTTAAGCGATTTTTTCAGAGACTAATCCATAAAATAAAGTATATTATCGTAATCAGCCACCAAAATGAGCATCAATCTTAATTTATTTTGCCAAAAACACGCTTGAGTAGAAGTGAGAATCCTAAAGCAAGCATGCAAGGAAGGAGAAAAAAAAATATTTAAAGTTCTAATTAGTAAAGAATGAGGACCAGCAGCATCTCAATTTTAACTTGCTAACAAGCCATAAGTAATAACATTTTGAGTAAATATTTTTCTTTTAACAACAAAAAAAAAAGAAGTAAAATTGATTTCGATCTTCTTTTTCTTCATGTGAACAAAAGAGATGTAAAAAAAGTTTCATTTCATTGTTGGGATCCTGGTGTGATGTGATGATTCAGAGATATGTGCACAGTATATTTATGTACATGCATGTGAGGTAAAAGGGACGAATGTTGTGTGTCCTCATAATGAAAATATTTTTTTTTATAAAATAGCGGCGAAATTTGTAAAAAGTTGGAAATGTAAGGAACAAGTTTTGAGGATTCCATGTCTTAAGTGATAATGGTAATAAAGCGCATTTTTGATGGTTTTTGTCTTTATTGAACAAACTAGTTGAAGGTCGACAATACGATTAAAATGAATTCAGAACAGATCAACCCAGGTCTGTAACACTGGAACCTTATTATTTTACAAAGAGCTTCCTTTCATCGTAACCTTTAATTCATAAGCTTTAGCCCCCCATCAGACAATCAGACAAATTCACTTCCAATTCCATCCCTCACAATAAAACATTTTACCTCAAAAAGCTGAGAATGAGAAAAAATTAAGGATCACATGGAAGATAACAATGGAATGTTTTTCTTTCTTCTTTCTTTTTCGGCATTAGTCTCCATCATGTCCCTGGTACGGAAGTCTATTCTGCAATAAATCTAACAATTGTAAAAATATATATGTATACCTCGAAAATAAAAAAAAATACTTCTCATTCTACACTACTTTTTTTTGTGTCCTTTATCTCAAGTCGCACTAATGTTGAAAGCTATCCGATGACAATTCAATTTATGCTGTTGAGTAAGAGAGAAGATAAAGAAGAAGGAATTCTTAAATGTTTTCATACAATTAACTTCATGTTTGTCTTTTAGGTGGCACAATAACAAAAAAACGAGAGAGAAAGAGAACTGGTCTTCATGGTGGCACTGATCAATTTATTTTTATAAATTAGTTCGCCCTTTTTGCCATCCCTTCTTGTTAAAGACTTCTTTTTTTCATTCTCTCGTCTTTTTTGAAGAAATTTCTCTTGTTATTCAATTTGTTTCTTAAATTTGCCGTGATAATGGAAATGAATTGAAGGATCTTAAGGTGTATTTTCATGACTTTATTAAGAAACTTATCGGTATTTGTGCTTGCCGATTAAAAATATTTGTTTTGGGGATTTCTACGAATCTCTTGTGGAATTCTTTGAGAGGATGTTGATGCTTTTTGGAGCACTAGTTTAAGTTTCATTCAATCTAATAGATTAAGGAATGTTAAGAATAAAATATTTCATTTAATAACCTTTTATGAATGAGATCAATATCTCTTTTATTTACGGTTGAGATGTAGTTGGAACTACTTATTAAATAACACAGAAAGTTTTAATAAGTTCATAGTTTAATTAAACGACAGTTTTGCCAAATTATAGCAAAAACATTTTTATGTAGATTTAAACTGCTTCCAGTTAGTATTAATCGGTCTCAACTTGATAATAAGATAATGATCGAACTCAATTAACATTATTAACTGCATTGAACTGTAAAAAAATCATTGCTTTTAATAAAAAGACTTTTTTTTACAAATTTTACGTGTCATGGTTCAACCAGCTCTAAGATGGCAATAACTATACATAAAACGTGTCTCATTTAAGACTAATTTAGAAAACGACACGTCTGGCTTAGAAAACAAAAGATTTATGATCAGAAGTGCAAGATTTTGGTAAATCTCTCTGACTTTGTCTGGACTATTTAAATCGTCTGGGACACTCTACTTCTTGCACAAAGTTTTTCTATAAGTTTTGCCAGTAGCCTAGCTAGACTTAGTTTAAATAACGAAGAACTTACTCAGATATTTAATATTCACATTATCCGAATTTTGGATCCTAAAGTTCAGTAATAATTTTAGACAAGCAATTAAACACAATTAATTCTAAGAATTTTCTCAAATTTTATATAACTGATTAAGTCATGCGACATTCAAAATCTACCTTTAATTTCATGGAACTAGTAATTTTGACCTACCTTAAATGTACCTATTCGTAGTTAAATTTGTTAAACATAATTCAAATGAATTGTAATTTGTAGGACAAATTACCGACAAATTTGATTCAGTAATAATTAACATTTAATGACATCCTAATTTTCAAAGACAACAAGAACGAAAATTCACTTAACATATGCCTTACAGAAATTCCTGCTTAAGGAATTCTGTTGAAAAATTAAGAACAACAAAAACAATAAAATAAAGTTATTTACATTGCAAATTTATTCTTGCACCTTGGGAATGTCAGCACCTTACAAAATCCTTTTTCTCTATTTTTCCTAATTTCTATTCTTCTAGTTGTGTACAAAGTATGAGAAATATTTTGCCTTCATAGTCGTACAAATTGTAAGAATGTCTTTCCTTTATTTTTCTCTCATTCTTATTGCATTTATGCGCATAATTTACAGTGCACACAACATAAGGAAAAAAAATATTTAAAAACTCATTTGCATAATTCTCAGTAACATTGGCAACAAACGTATGTATGGCAAGTTAGTGAGTATTACCAATTTACCACAGAAGAAGCAAATGAAGAAACAGCAAAAGAATTATGTTGGTGGTAAGAAATTCCAATATTGTCTCTTATCATCATTTAACGAGAACTGCACAATCTTTTTTATTATTTTTATTTTCTCTGTTATGTGTAGATACGAGAAAGGTAGACAGTTGTAGATGTATGCGTGTATCAGACACGAAAGAAATGGAACAAAAATGAAAATGAAATTTTTCAAACATTTTCAGTGTTCGACTTCTCTTCAACACTTTACGATATTATGCTCCGTCGCTCCTTATACTCAGTATTTCAACGGCATTCTAACAGTCAAGACGTGTTTTTTAGAATCTCGTCAAAAATAAAATAAAAATAAATAGAATTTTTTGTATCTATCACAAGAAAGGATTTTTTTTTAAGTAAATGAATTAAAAGTGACAGAAAAAAATTTAAGAAATTGAAAAAAAAAACTTAGAAAAAAAATTAAGATTTGCGAAAGTTTTAAAATCATATTTAATGTATCAAAAAAGCACACAAAATTTAATCCGATTTCATCGATTGCAAGATAAAATAAAATGCATCGAAAGAAATTTATAAGTTACATTAAAAAGTTATGTTATCGGAGAAAATATAAAGTGATTAATCGAAATTATAACAGTATCTTACATTCACGATCAGTGCAAAAATTAATAAAATGCAAAATTAAATAAATTTGACTTCAAGTTACTGACAAAAAGAAGAAAAAAAAAGTAATAATCTAGAAGAAAATTATTTATGTGAAAAACCAAACTGAATTTATAAAAAAAATATGCATTTAGACATTAAAAAAATGAAAACGCAAGCCCTCGATTTTGGATTACAAATTATTATCGATCAAGTGTCAGGTGAGGAAACAGTAAAAAAATTAAAATATTATGTGTAGTGAAAATTTTTTACATTCTATGCGCCTCAGGAAATGTGAAAAGTTTTTTTTTCGTCCAGACAAAAAAATGTGCCGTATAAAATCCTTGGGGGGATTTTGTCAGGAATTAATTTGTGGTTTATCAGCAGCTTAAATGATGTTTTGGGGCTGTTTGATAAAGGTTTTTTTCTTGTGGTTTTGTGATTATTTCTAATTTTTTAAACACACAATAAATTGCAAAGTTTCAAAAAATTTAATAAAAAGCTCAATATTCATCGTAAGGGACGTCGGGGTTCTTGCGAATTATTTATGTACGATATAATAAAATTGTACATAAAAGTTAATTAGTGCTTCGTCAATTGCACACAAAAAATAAATAATTTTCTCCTCACATTTATTTACAATTCACACACAAGAGCGAGTAGAAATTATGAAAATACTCAAAATTGCCTTGCTGCTATCGCTAACGATCATTAACCCCCCAAAAAATAAATAAATAATAAAAAATATTTTTTCGAGAGTGGGAAAAACTTTTTTTTTCTTTCCTTTCCATTTCGAGTGCAGTGTGTGTCTATGTGTGTTATGTAGATTTTGCAACCCTTTTTTGAAACCTCAAAAAAGTGCTTTTCAACCTAAATAAAAAAACATAAATCGTCTGAAACTTATGATTGTTATCGCACACGACATTGTGAATTAATACAAAAGAAGAATTCCCGAAAACAGAATTGTAGTTTTTACTGCTGAAGAGAGTTTCATGCGGAAATTCATTTTCCTTTTTTAATTTCTACCAACTATATTATTATTTTTATTATTAGTATGCAGCAGTAGTAAAGTTAACTTATGTAGTTTACGTTTCAATTGGCTGCTATTTTCGGACATTGCATTGCATAATTGGAAGCGTATATAAACTCAACTTCTTTGCTGTATGTACTTTTTTGTGAAAGAATGTTTAATGCTTATGAATTTTTATAGCGGCAAAAGAAGAAAGTCACGTCAAACTTACTACTTAGTTTATAATCATTTCTTGTTTGAAGTTAAATAGCAATTAAAATATGAATTTTTATACACTTTTTTTTTGACACTGACGAGTTAATTGTTTATGATTTTATGGGAAGCACCTTGTGACATTTCAGACATATTGCATGAAGTTTCTGTGTGAAATTTTAATTCGTGTTTGATTTTCTTGCTGTATAACTTAATAATTGACTTAGTTTTTATTGCTAAAGTTTTTAAGTTTTGCTTGATTAAATAATTGCTTACGAAGCATAATAACTTTTGAGTTGGAAGTTCCTAGAAAAAATATATTTTTTCCTCATAAAAGTTTCTTTTTAATGCTTTAAATTTTTTATGATTTTTTAATGAAATTTTGGTCATATCAGTCAAGTTTTGGAAGACAAGCAATTTCCATGAGTTTAAAAGCTTCATGTGAAAATTGAGCATTTAAGTTTGATTGAAATTTTTCGTGCCACGTATTGCTGAATAAAGACTATTAAGTATCAGTATTAAGTTATTGGAATCAATTTCTTATAAGAAAAGGTCCTTGGAAGGGAAAAATTGATTTTGGACGCAAAACATTGTAAATGAAAAATCACACTTAATTGTCACTAGCTGCAATCACTTCCACAAATCAAAAACTCCCCATTAAACACAGCAATTTTAATTCAATTATTTTCTCCATTTAGACTTTAAATTCAATCCAATTAGGCACAATTATTGGAAGAATCATTTTTAATCTAATATAAAATCTCGATGTGCAATATTATAATGGCAGCGATGGGTAATGTGGTAGAAACGAAACAATCAATAGCCGCAAGTTAGATGAGGCACCTGATATATCGATCAATATATAGACGCCATGTTAATCTCTTTGTTTCACTCCTATGCATTTCATTTCTTTAGTTCTGCTCTTTTTTTTTTGTGAAATGTTAATGATTTTTAAAAGCAAAAAAAAAAATATTCGTACGAACATAAATAACATATGAATATGCAGAAAATCTGTATATAATACAAGGTTAAAGAATGAATGTAAGGAATTGTGAGAATAAAAATAAAAGGCAAGCAAAAGATTGAAGAAAATTACACACGTCAGCTCTTTTAATGTTGATCCATCTCATGCATGCGATTTGGTCTCATTCTTAACACACATTGCATTGCATAATTGGTCGGTTTGGTTGGTTTGTTAGCTGTTTGGTTGGCAGAAGCTTTTGCTGCTGCTAAGAGGCACACAAAAAGAGAGCAAAAGGAGAAAAATTAATATGGTTTTATAGCCTCGAGCCAAAAAAATTCCTTTTGGCTTCTTAAGCCGCGCTCGCGCTTTATAAACATATAACCAAAACTACATACGACGATCATTGTGGAATTTTACTTGCTCCCCCATTAAAAAATGTGTTTTAATTTTTTTTTCGTTGAGCCTCCATAGAAAGACTAATTGCATGCTGGAATGGATGGACACAGTGAAACATGTAGTATAGATGCTGATGTGCATTCAGCAAAGAGTCATTAAATGATATAGACTGTTGAAACCATAAAATGTTGTTTTGAATAACAAAATGCGCCAATTTTTCTCCTTCTCATTCTGTTGCTGTGTCTTAGCATCTCTCTGTTGCGTTAAACGATGAATTTAAGAGCTAATAAATTTTAAAATGAATGCAAATATTTTTTATGGAATTTTTGGAGGCGTTTACCGAATTTGATTAAGTTTTTTTTTTTCTTTTCAATCCATGTGAAAATGTTCTTGGAGAGATTATATGCAAAACAATCATCGTCTGGCGGCAAAAATCGCTGCACTAATTTAAATTTTTCTTTTTGTTCATTTATGCATTTCTGGAGTTTTATGGAGTTTTTAATTAACAAATTCTTATTTCCATTTACAGATTTTAAGAAACATTTGAGAATACAAAAGACGCTCAACACATCAAGTTCCAAAGTTTTTACTTCATCTCTACTTATAGTTTTAATATTTAGTGCAATTTGTGATGTTACAGGTAAGTCACACTCACCCTCCGAATACCAAAGAAATAAACAAAAATAATTATTTTAATTCCGATTCATTTTCAAAAATAAAGTAAAATGCGAGAATTAAAAATATGCACATTGAACTTCATTTCCTTTTCATTCCTTATATATGCGGCGTGAATTTGAGTACGTGAAATACATGATTCATTGGCATACCACAGCATTTAAAAAAGTGTCTGACTGCTGTCTGGATTTTTCTTTTCGGGTTTTATACGCGAAATAAATTTACGTGCTAAATTTAGGTCGAGGAAAGAAGAAAGGAAAGAGAGAAAAGAATACTTTTTGTCACAATCCCATGAGTTACTTACTGTGAATGAATCTTTAAATAATTTTTCCTCGTCTTTAAATGTCACTGCTGTATTCTGTATCGCTAGACGATTCTACTTGACGAAAAAAAAGTATCTTGTTGCTATGTAGGAAGGCAAATCTTTTACTTCCAAAATAAAATACATATATATATATATATAAAGGAATCTGATAAGACTATTTTGAGACATTTGTCTATAGACATTTGCTTGTAACTCAATCTATTGACACAATTACGATACAGCAACATTCACGATATTTAATTACATGAAAAGCGAGTCAAAGTGAGTCAGAGATGAAAAATTGCATTGTCATATTAAATTTCTGATCGCAAAGCAGCAGCAGCATCATAATCATCATCATTAATGCGATCATTATGATCACATATGTTCATCGGTAGAAAAAAGGAAGGAATAAAAAATCAACAGAACAAGAAGAAACAGCCATAAAAGAAATAAAAAAATTTTTGGGTGGGTTTTTGTGTTGCGAAGGATTTTTTTAATGTGTTTCTGCTGCTGCTGGCTGCTTCTTCTATGTTCCAATAAAGTTTTTATATTTGCACCTTGTGTCGCTTCCTGTTATTTTCTCTCATATTTCCTCCTTCTCATTCATAGGATTTTCATGCCTACGTACATGTGTGTAATTTCATTTTTGCCTTGCCTTGATGCCATTTAATGGATATGAAATGGTAGAAAATTTCTTTTATACTTCTCTCTTTTTTCTACCGGGGCACAAGCCGATTGTTAACATTTTCTACATAACAGACTGTTTGATCAATGAACCTTTTTTTTGTGATCGTCAAAAAATCCCTTTTTGTTGTGTGTGCATTCATTCAACAAACGTTTCAATGAACCAATCTCTTTAATAAAAGCAGGTGATAACCAAAAAAATACGAGACTAAATGGAATGTATAGTCAAGGGGGTAATAAAGCAAAGAGTTTTATTGAAGTAGCCAATCGATGGCACTTTATGTGATTAAAATCTAATGAAATTATGAAAATTTTTAAATTGACATTCAGAAGCACACACGAAGATGTGAAGAGGAAAAGAATTAGGGGTTATTGACTGGGTTTGGTTAAACTACCTCTAGATGGTTAGCAGATCATGCAACACATACAACAATTGACAATAATTTAAGCAAATTTCATGCTTTAAATTCCATACAACAATTTAAGAACTTCAGGCAGTATAGTCCATAGACCATATGACTTCTAAAGCCATATTTCATACCTTCTAGGCTCAAACAGTTACGAGACATAAGAACCTCTACAAATGAGGCTTGAGTAGTATAGAAATTAAATTGAGAATAAAATAAAACATACATAAAACTTTTATACTTTTTGTGTGGCACAAAAGTAAGAAAGGAAATTAAAAAATCCCATGTGAGCAGATGTTTTTGCTTGCTTATTGCTTCTTTCACGTACAAACAAGAGACGTAAAGAAATGTATAACTTCAGCAACTAGAGCTCCGGCTACTATACAGTGATAAATTCTTTACAAAAGAACTATTTTTTCCATTCATGAAGAAAGAGAGAAAAATGTGGCTCTTTTATGGTACCTCCGGCGATCGAGGTAGCAAACACATACATACCGGGGTAGAGGAGAGACAATGAAACAAGTGTTACTTCTTATTATGTGATAATTTATTAATTCTTTTTAAACTAATTTTTAATTCCCACTTTTCTTTTCTCTCGCCTTTGCTCTGGGCTTTTATGTTACCCACCCGAAAAAAAAAGAAATAATAATGAAATATAAAAACTATGATATAATAAAATTAAAAAGTTTAAAATAAAGAGGCAAACACGGAACATTGTTTTTATCAAGATTTTTAGCGCAAGTTCAGTTTGAAAAATGTGATTTTTCGTTCACATTGGCTGAACACGTGAGATCTTTTTAAACAGAGTGTTTAACTCGATTAAAATATTTGCATATACTTTTTGCCATCCCATAAATTAACTTAACGATCTTACCTTCTTGTAAATTAGGTGTTTTGTTTTAAATATTTTGATAACACTTCTCGAATTGAGAAGTTAAAATTCACAAAAACAAAATGGCGACACTATTGTATTTAAATTTTATAAAATCCGTTATTTTTTTTAAAAAATATAACTCGTGAGGATTAACAAGGTATTAACTTAATTAATCATTCACTGGAGTAGAAAATGCGCTATAAGGTATTTACTTTGCAACTTACATGCCAGTTGTTTTGTTTGCTTCTGCTCGCATATATAGAAATGATTAATTAGAATTGTGTGGTAAAGAATAATGGCTTTTACTGTTAATAACTCAGCAATTTTTTAATTTGCATTGTAAATCAAACAAAAGAAGTTCCAGATGTGTCGGAATTAAAATAAGAAAAATGTAGAAATTATCATTGAATTTTAATCTCGAAAAATATTCAAATTTTATAATATTTCATTTCATTTTCACTTTCAGACGCTTGTAGAAGTCGCACAATTTATAAACCGCGAACAACACCAGCACCAACACCGAGTCCAAGACCAAATATTACATTCCACACTTACAAATGTCCTGAGGCATATGCAACGTGGTACTGTCTAAACGGTGCTACATGCTTCGCTGTCAAATTAGGCATGGAGGTCCTCTATAATTGCGAGTAAGTTATAATATGCCTGAGAATTTTTTTAAACTTTATACTTAATAACTTTTTCCTCTCTTTTCTTTAAATAGATGCAAAGATGGATATATTGGACCAAGATGTGATTACAAAGATCTCGATGGCTCATATTTATGTAAGTCATAAAATTTTTTTATTGCTCTTGAAATTTAATTTTAATTAATTTTTTTCTCCTTTCTTTTCTCATAAACAGCTGCAAGATCTCGTGTAATGTTAGAGACTGCAAGTATCGCTGGTGGTGCTGTTGCTGCCTTACTACTCGCATGCATTGTAGGATTGTTCGTCTACCTCAAGAAGCACTCATCAAAGCAGTGCGAGTTTGAAGTTGAAAGTCAAAAACCAAATCACGAAAATTGCGATGAATGTCAAAAATTTTAATTTTTTAAAGAATTCTTCTATGTATCATCGTGTATATTATGCGCCTAGCATCCTTCTCATCTTATTTGCTTGTCTTATATTTGTGTAATTTATTGTCAACGCTTAAACGCAAAATGAAAATGGAAAAACCAGCAACATTGTATGTTCTATTTCTTTAAACAATTCTTTTTTGTTTGTTTTAAGTAAATTAAAAAAAAAATATGGAAAGAAATTCTCTAATTGTAAAGACTAATTTTTGTAATTTAAAGACACATTTTTTATTAAAATATATCTGTGATATTACTCTATAAGTTTGAGTTCATTATGAAAAATTATGAAAGAAAAATTGAAAAATTGAAAGAGAGAGAAAAAATAAAAAAATTTGTGAAAAAAAATATTGAGCGCAATTTTTTGTCATTTTTTTAATGAGGGTTTCATTTCTCACTTTGCAGACTGTCAATTTTCGTACACGTGCTTGCACGGAAGTCTGGTGTATGTAAATTTTTAATATTTGCTGTTTGAATTCTCAAGAAAAAGTAAATTTTTGGGGCAAGACTTAGTTTTGACAAATGATCTTTCGTTTTTGGACATGATTATTTTAATTTTTTAGACTCATAATTAGGCTGTTCATAAATTGTTCCAGATCAATTGTCACTACTATGGGTGGAAATATGCAGAATTCAGTACATGTTGTGTAAATTCAGAATTTGATCTAGAAATTTTGAATTTTTTATGGTTCAAGATTTAGGTCTATAAGAATTACCATCTGGTATTAACAGATGCTACTGCAATTTACTCTATCAGATATATCTAGGATCAGCGTTTCATGCTCCAACTTAAAAAAACAGCGATCGCCAACCTCGTCCATCAAATTCTAAAACAATTTCAATTCCAGGAACCAAGTGTGCAATCAATCAACCATTTACGCAGGTATTTATTCACACAAATTTATTTCCAAAGAAATCAATCAAAAAGTCACAATATTTTTTTCACTGCCCAAAAATGGACATACCTTGACCCTTTCTAGAGGAATATTATGTACTTCAAAAGATTTTTCGTCCAAGATATAATTCTGTCTTCTTTCATTCTGTCGAACATGTGCCACGCGCAAATTTTTTTCGTTGTAATTCAATAACATTTTATTAACTTGACATAACATTGACAAAGAAGGTAAGCGAATGTTAATGGACGAGAATAGTAAGAAGAGGAAGATACTCATTTCTTGATGATGTCCCGTGCCATAATAATTAAACTTTAATGATGCAAAGTGCACTTGGCGTAAGTAAAAATAAAAGGAGGAAAAAAACTTATTCCCTCTTCGCATTTTCATTCCCTGCATAAAATTTTATGTCTTGTTTCTCTCTCGCAATAACTTTTCTTCAAGACTTGAAAGCAGTAGGATGAAAAGTGAATAAAATTGACTTTTGCAATGCAATATTAGGCCATAAAGGAGGCAAAAAAACGAGTTTTATATGTTTTTAAAATTACATTAGCGCGTGCCTTCTGTTCCTTATTTCATCTCATCATCATCAACATCATCGTCATCAAACATCAAAAATGTGTATGCGTATAAATTCTGGTGATCTTTAGGTGTTCAAATAGCATCAAACAGACGGGTAGGAAAAGAAAGAAAAATGATGAAATTGGATACACAAAAGTATACTGTTTCTCATTTTTCAGGCTCAATTTTGTATTTTATCCAAAAAAGTGAAACATTTGTTATAGGACATAAACATACATACACAGAATTAAAGTAAAGAAAGAAGGTAGGAAAGAAATATTTTTAGGATTCGCGCCATAAGGTTTACTTTATTTCGATGTATGGTTTCCTTTTTCCGATATTTATTCGCTTGTTTTTTTTTCACTTCTCATCTTTCACGTATTCACATACGTAGATCCCTCCAATTTGTGGATTTTTTTTCCTACCAACTTCTTTTCTTCTCCCTTTACGTTTATTTTATTTATTTTTTTCGGAGACCTATTATGATGCATTTTTATTGTTATTGCTTTTCAGGAGCCTAATAATGCTGTTATTTGTAAACTTATTATCTACGACATGTGCGTAAGGATAGATGACTATTAAAAAATTTATTTATTGCATTTATTTCCATCTCCTTACTGAAAGAAATCTAATCTGCTTTGATGAAGACTCTTTAATGACTATAAAAAATTAATAAATGAAATTTATAATAAGGAAATTGAATTGAGTTGAAACTTTTTTTTTTGATGTCTCATCGTTTGATTTAATAGTTGAATTATTGGATGGAAGGGTACTGTAATATCTGAATTTATGATTTTAATCGAATTTTATAGGTAATTATTGAAAATTTTTTTCACAGATGTTCATTAAGGATATCTGGCTTTAAACCCTAACAGTACTTTAGACACAGTTTTGTTGGTTTCGTGAGAATATGAGCGAATCTTGTAATGTGAATTTCTATGTCCAAAAGTTTCTTTCTATCACCAACGTCTCATCATGACTCACCAAACTATTAAAATCATCCAATCTAGTTTGATGTGTTAGACAGAGGCGTTATCCGTAAAATATTCAGTCTTTAGCCATATATGAAAAATGTAGAGTAATGAACTCATTTTCTTTAAAATATTTCTGTTCCTCTCGAATATTTCGGCCTCGACATTGTTTCTCGCAAAATTATGGAGACAGGTGATTTTAAAAAATATGAAGCGAATTTGCATTTTAAAAGTTATAGTTAAGGTTGCGTTATTTTTAGTGTCCATAAATTAAGATTTCATATTTTTACGATGGACATTTCAGAAGCTGCAATTATCAATTTAAGTCAGTTGAAATCATGTAGGAATCAACATAAAATCAATCGCAGATTGCATCATGCTAAGTTTACAAATTATTTATAGCTTCAATAGATTTACTTTAACAATACAAAAAGACTTTTTTTTTGAAAAATTACCGTTCGTCTCAGTCCTAAAACCTTCACAATCTCGATATTCCTCTTTTTTCATTTTCATTCTTAATTTATCGTGTGCAATTTTTTTACTGCATATAATTGCCAATTTTCGTTTCATAGCGGCACCACCACGAAAAATTCCAATACGATACCAACATGTTACTTATGTATGTTGCTCTCTTCTGGAATGATCAGAAACACTTGATTTCTGAGAAAAATTAAAACATTTGTTTTCATTGTGCGTTTTATAAGCAGCACCAAAGAGATAAAAAAAATATTTTGGAATTTAAGAAAAAAATGTATTTCTCTCTTCATTCTTCTTTTTGGCCATTAAATGGCACACGTTGTCGCATTGAGGAGAAGCGAATCGACAAGACTTGAGGAAATTTTTGGTTTTGAAAAAATATTTTTCATTTTCAACAAGAAGACAAGTATAAAGTCATCGTGGATTTTTGATGAAAGTTTGAATACTTTGGCGATGCAGACTGTCGAGGTAGGATTGGAACTAGATTCTAATATTAACTTTGAACCAGATTTTTGGAAGGTTTGGAAGAGCTAGGAACGCTTTAATGTATAAGACATTAAAATTCAGACAATCTGCAAACAGCAGCTCCACAAAATCAAGCTAAACTTCTATCAAAAAAATGTTTCGATAAATATAGTATCAAAAATTCTTAACAATCGAATATAAAATTTTCTCCAGCACATTCATTTGTATGAGTTAACGAAATTGCATACAACAAGGGGGGATGATGAATATATGCAGACGAAAATAGAAAATAATTTTCTAATTTTAATTTTTTAAGTCTCTTGAATTCTCCATTTTTCATTCCTCAAATTATTTCCTATTAACAGAGTCGTCAACCCCAACGACGTGCATTTGTCTTTGTTCATTTCTCGTCTCTTCCTTTTTTAAACGAGAAAATAAAAAAATTTATCTTTTTTTTTTGTGTTGGCCAATTTAATGAAGATCATTTAAATTTTCTTCTGTTTTGATGGCTTGATGGTGTTTCGCAGTCCATGTGTTGCCCATTTATATTCTCGATTTTGGAAATTCTTCTTTTCCTTTTGGTGTGTGCCTTGCCATGCATGCCCTGTATGTTATTTTTAAGAAATATTTTTTCCTTCAAAAAAATAATTTTGCACCTTGCGCCATTCGTAAATAATAAAGAGAAAATGTGGCGTATGTTATGCACATGTAGTTACCAAACTACTTACATCTTTCACATCATCGATCTCATTTTCATCCTCTTACTTGTTACAGTCACATGAAATGTGTAAACAATTAAAGGAACAACGACAAGAGCCTATTAATCCTATTAATAAATTACCAAAGTTATTCATCTTTTTACTGATGAACTGTTTATTTACTTAATTAATTGTCTATGCAGCGACACATCGTCGTTGATCATCTGAGAGAATTAATGTTTATAGGCGGAGTGTTGCTCTTAAGTGGCAGTTAGTTCTTTGATATATTTAAGGCGCATTTCGAGACAATTTTTTGATAAGTCATTGAGAGTTTTAGAAGTTATCGGAATTTTTTTCAATTTCCAAATAAAATCTTGTAGATAATGCTGTGAACAAGGAGTCACAAAAGGACTTAACAGACAGAAGAAACCTTTTTTACAAACGCATTCAAATTGCCTCACAAAATTGAGTTAAAAAAGGGGATAAAAGCTTAAGTGACTGATGCTTCAGGATGCAGTTAATATTTTTATGAAGGTTAATTATGTTGCGATGCGGAAGACTTTTAGGTTATAATTTAATGAGTTTTTCAACAGCACCGATTTAGAGGAATACATACAAAATTGATACCCTGACGCCAGCATTAGCTCATTCAGAAGCATCAACTCATATTGTTAATGGCATTTAATGGTGATTCGGCACAATGGTATTATTAAATTATCTCTCATAAATTAGATCAATTTTTCTCTTTCTCAATGCATTAAATTTCTTTTCATTCTTTGCCTTTAATTCTCATTTTTCCATATATTTTTTTTGGAATGATCAGATTTAATAATATTTAATTTCCATTTGCTTACACTCGTTTTCTCACGCATGCCGCGTGAAATGATTAGACTGAAATATGATGAAGAAATACTTAAATTTCACTATAATTTTTACATCATGTATGAAAATAATAAAGGGATCCATTAGCCGTTAATTTTAATATTATTATTATTATTATTGTTGTCCGTAGTCTGGACTCAGACTAGTAATTTCATCAATACAAAATAAATATATTGATCTGTTGAAAGCAGAGCAGTAATGCTTAATTAAGTCACTTAATATTGTACATTAGTTGTTATTCAATAAAGATATTCATATAGTTATTACGTGATGTTATGGTTATTTTTAGATAGAGGAAGAGAAACAGTTTAAGGGGGTTGGGAA